GAGAGAAATAGAGTGAGGTTGAGAGTTGCTTAAAGAGGGGATGATTCCCCATCCTCTATTGTTGTAAATTTTGTTCTCTCCCTACATAATGCAATGGCTTCTCCCGTGGATGTAGGCGGTTTGCCGAACCACGTTAAATATTGTGTCAGTGGGTTTTGGCTCCTATGAGGCAGTATCAGAACATCACCGGTCGGAATTCCCAACAGAAGGGAGGTGGTCGATCGGAGGAGGGTTGTCATGAGGAGAGGGACTGTTCGATGGCTGGAAAATGGATCAAAATTATTAGGCAAGAAACTTAAATTAATTATTGATCGACTTAGCATGAAATTTAAAAAATTATCACAATTATAACTAAATTCAGCATGAAATTAAGAGGTAACAAATAAAAATTAAATTGGTTAGCTCATACATTCTTGAAAGGAAATTGTCATTGAATTAATGAGCTTCATTTTAAAATAAAATTTCATTGAATTAATGAGTTTTTTCTTGAAATAAAAATGTGATTGGATTGAAATAAAAATGACATTGAGTCAATAGAATTTATTTTAAAAAATATATTTATTATTGGATTGATGGGCTTCTCTTATAATAAAAGTACAACTTGAAAGGAAATTACTATTAAAATGATGATCTTTACTTAAATTAAAATGTTATTTAAAAAAAATGACATTGAATTAATGAGTTTCGTCTTGAAATAGAAGTATCATTTGATATAGATAGGCTTTTCCAGAATTAAAATACTTTAATGAAAGAAGATCCCAATCCGACTAAGAGGCTTTATTTGAATTAAAATATTATTTGAAATAAAATTATTATTATATTAAAGGGCATCATTTTAAAATAAAAATAATTTTTTAATAAAAATTATTATCAGATTAATGGATATTATTTTGAAATAAAAGTTGTCACTGGATGAATGTGCTTTTTTTAAAAAAACAATTATCATTAAATTAGTAAGTTTGAAAAATAATATCAAGATTGAAGAGTTTAAGTAAATTGTTATTAAGTTAATTTGATTGAAAAATACTTTTATAATTAATAGATTTTGTTTGAAAGAAAAGTGTCATTAAGTTGATAAGTGTTAAAGAAAAATGTTATCATGAATGATAAGCATGAAAATCATCTCATTTTAAGATGATCAATCGTCACTTGTTGAAACAATGTAAACAAGGAACTTCATGAATGAATAAGAAGAGATTTAAGTTTCTTTTTCATAACTATAATTGACTTTGATTTTCTTTAGATAATACAAGATGAAACACCCACGTGTTGCTGTGGGTTTATAAAATAAATATACTTGATAGTGTTATAATTATGAACAATACTATATAAGTAATAAAAACTAAGCTATAATAGAGTAAATATTTTATGACAAAAAAAAAGGTTGTGTTGGTGATAAAAAACTTAGAAACTGAAATCCATAGTGTTTTGTAAGGAAAGATACAATGCTTTTGCTATATAATTTAGTTTTTTTGTTAATAAAAAGAAAAAAAAATTACAAAGTTAAATTCTCTATCAATTTAATATTTAAAAAAACCAACAAATATAATTGTGGAAGGAAAAAAACCTATGAGAAAAAAACATTGTAGCAATTGACAATGTTTTGTGAAGAAAATTATTGTGCTTTTCCTAATAAAATAAAATAAAAAACAATTAAGCGAAATATTATAGCAATACATAATGTTTTGTGAGAAAAACTACAATGCTTTCCTCATATGATTTAACTTTATTGTAATTATAATTTTTAACCAACTCAGTATTTAAAAAAAATGACAAAGATAATTTTGAAAAAAATCATATGGAAAAACACTGCAACAATTAATAGTGTTTTAAAGAAAAAATTTACAAAGCTAAATTCTTAATTAACTCAATATTAAAAAAAAATCAACATAGAAAATTTTAGAAAAAAATTTAAAAAAACACAAAAAGAGAAAAAAATCATGTTGGAAACACTATAGAAATTCACAAGGAAACACTATAGAAATTCACAATGTTTTGTGATGAAAGCTACAGTGCTTCCCCACATGATTTAACTTTATTTGTAACGACTTGTAATTATAATTTTCAAACAGCTTAATACTAAAAAAATAAAATTTAAAAAAATAATTTAAAAAAATTAAAAAAAATAAAAAAAAAAAAACCATGTGGAGAGACATTGTAGTAATCCACAATGTTTTATAAAAAAAGTACAATGTTTTTCCTATATGATTAAACTTTATTATAAATTTAAATTATAACCAACTCAATATTTTAAAAAAATAAAATCAACAAAGATAATTTTGAAAAAAATATTACAAAAAATAAAAACATAAAAACATAAAAGAAACTGGAAAAAAACTATATGAGGAAAAACTATATCAATCCACAGTGTTTTGTGAGGAAAAACTTGTATTTACTTGTAATGAGAATTCTTAACCAGCTTAATATTTAAAAAATAAAATTAACAAAAATAATTTTAGAAAAAGAAAACATACCAAAACAGAAAAAAATCATGTGGAAAAAAATATTATAGTAATCCACAGTACTAAATGAGGAAAGTCATAATACTTTTATCATATATTATAACTATAATTTTTAACTAGTTCAATATGAAAAAATAAAATAAAAAAAGATAATTTTTGAGAAATTATAATAAAAAATCATGTGAAAAAACATTGTAGCAATCAATAATATTTTTTAAAAAGAAATTACAAAACTAAAATATTAAAAAAAATAAAATCAACAAATATAATTTTGCAAAATAAAAAATAAAATAAAAAACTATTTAAGAAAATACGGCAAAAATCCACAATATTTTTCTTAAAAAAATTACTAAATGAAATTTTTAACTAACTTAATATTTAAAAAGTAAAATCAACAAATTTGTTTTTGAAAAAACATGAAAGAAAAAAAAACAAAGAAAAATAGAAAAAAAAGAAAGTGATTTTGGACAAAAAAAGGGATAATTGGGGAAAAAATTGAAAAAAAAACCTCGTAAATTACTGTTATAATGTACGGTGATTTTAGTGTGAATGAATAGTAAGTTTCCCGCATCATTTAAAATATTGTAATTTTCTAGAGCAGTATTGTAATTTTCTATAGCAAGAAGAAGATAAAGTTTTTATATTTTAAAAGTTCAATTTTCTTTTTTATATTATTTATATCTTTAAATACTTGCAACTTTAGAAGTGTTAAGAACCCAGCATTACCTTGAGTTGTTTAAGTGATTCCAAAACTTTCAATGCTTATTATGAGTTCCCCTCTATGGTTTTTATTTTTTATCATTAAATAAACATGGTTTATCTATTATATTATCTTGGCCCGCATTAATCTTGTCATTTCTTTCATGTGTAATTTAGGAGTATATGTTTATTATTTTTTATTTTTCATTATCCTCGTGAACAAATTATCACCTTTACTATTTTTAGTTTATAGAGTTTTCAAATCATTATTTAGTTATTGTAATTATCTCATATTCCTTAAAAATAAATTATCCCAATTGATCTAACTATGTTCATCCTTTTTAATTGCTATTTATAAGGAATAGATGCACCATCATTATTATTTTTGTCATCGAAACTTTGCAAATTTAGTCAATTTAAAAATTCATCATAAAACATTTATAAACTTTCTTGTTTTAGGACCAACCTATAAATTTTAATAATTGTATTCTAATAGGTCTAATTAGCGAAGCAAAAAAAAGGTTAGGGTTATTGGGTTTGAAAGGCCATACCCATATATACCTAGCTTAAAAGGTAAAAACGCATGTGCATTTAGATATAATAGACTAGTCCTGCACCCCTTGTTCTTTTTTTAGGCTAAATATTTTTTAATTTCACTAATATCAAAATTAAAAACATAAAATTAAATTTTTATTCAATATTTATTCTTAAAAAATAAAAACCATGCACTAAAAAAATTATATAATTTAGGTAGACCTTTTTTCCCTATTGTTACTTAAGCCAATCCATCATTTTTATGTTAGAAAAATCATATAAAATTTGAGAATCATTTTATTTTAAGGAGTTATTTTAAATAAAATCATTTATTACATTCAAATAAAATGAATGAATGATGCAAATAATTTTTTTTTTATTAAGTGAACAAGACAATACATTATTTGCTTGGATAGGTAACATATCATTTAATATTAACTTTTCTAGTGAGCTGATTGAAAAATTAAAATTTGAGTAGAGAGCCTAAAAATCTAATTTTTATCTTGTTTTTACTTATAAAAACTTTAAAAATATCATAAAAATCTAAATGAAAATTCATTTCTAATATCAAAACACCATTAATTACTTTAAAAACTAAAGACTCAATTGTATTTAAAATATTTTTAAGAAATCTAACATATTGTTTTAGCATTTTCAAAGGTAACATTATTTTTATTAAACTCTTATATTAAAAACAAATCTATTAACATCAATTTGTTTTTTCTTGTTAGAATATGTCAAGCAAATCTTTTCTCTCTATGCCTATAAACTAAAATATAATAAAAATAAAATTTAGAACTGGAATATAAAATTCTAACTCATGTAATAAAAGCAAAATATAAGGGACTAAAATGAATTTTGTCATTTTTTTTGAATAATACAACTAAAAAATAATTTTTTATATTAATTTTGATCGTTATTATTTTAATTTTAATTTTAAACAATAACCTAAAATTTTATTTTATAAAATCAATCATTTGTCTAACATCAAAATATTTTATGACATTTTATACACACAAACATATAAATCAAAATAAATTCAAAACAAAACATGACAACTTAACTTATAAGAATCAAATTGAAAAGAAAAAAATAATTTTAATGTATAAATATATTTGTTTTTGTTGTCAAAATTATAGTTAGGTATATTTTAAAAACATGTTGGGTATGAAATAACATCGAATTAATATTTTTTTTAATAATTTTAATATTGTAATATTAAAATTAAAAAATATAAAAAAATTTATTTTAATATATTTTTTTAAAAACAATACTTTAAAAATTCTGAAAACAATTTCTGTAAGACGAAACGAAACGCCACCGCCTTCACATTTCTAACATTGACCCCAAAAAACCCAAAGAGATCATTAGCAAAGATATAGAAGAAGTTTGTAAATTAGTTGGTGGAGAAATCACCGTTGAATTAAGGTATGATGAATGAACGAAATTTATTCTGTGTTCACCTCATCCTCTTTCTTCTTTAACCAAATTTGGATAGAGATTTGTGAGAAATAATAATGAAATCTGGAGCGCAAAGATTTTGTTTTACCCTTTTGCTTTCTTGTATTTTTTTCCGTTGCTTTCTTTTATTTTTTTCTGTCTTTCATTTTGCCTTTCTTTTCGTAGTGTAATTTTCTCAACTGCAATTTAATTTTAGAGCTAGAGCGTTCTGACCATTGCGTTCTGACACATTATCCAACTGGGCTCCACGATTCTAAGAACGAATTTGAATTTTTTTCTTATATATATATATTTATTTTGTTTGTGTGGGTGCGTCTGGGTGGCAGACATGGCGCTGAAATTGGTTAGCAGGAAGCTGGGGAGCAAATTCTTGCCCATGCTGTCTTCCACTTCTCCACTGCATTCACATGCGACTAGCTTTGGTAGGTTCTTGAGTAATCAATGATTCCTCTTCTTCTTGAGTGTCTCTTTTTTAGTCTGCCTTCTTTGAACTACTAATTGTTTGTTTTCATTTTGATTTTCTCGTTAAATTGAACGTCCTGAACGAACCCTCTTAACCACACTTTAGACATTCTTAAAATATCATTTCAGGATTCAAACATGTTCGAGAAGAAGAAAAAAGTCAAATGGTTGGTAATGTTTTCAGCAGTGTGGCCTCAAATTATGATCTCATGAATGATTTAATGAGTGGTGGATTACATAGGTTATGGAAGGACAGGTCAGAATACGTTGAGGATGCATTTTTTAATGATTGCTCGTTATGTTGTATAATTCACTTTGGGTTCATGCTGACATTAGCTACTTTTCTATGATGCTTTCTAGACTGGTTTCTATGCTGAATCCATTTCCTGGAATGAAGCATCTTGATGTGGCTGGGGGAACCGGTGAGTACTGATATAAAACTATGACATCTTATAAAGAAAAAAAAAAGCACTGTATTTGATTAGAAAAGCTTTAATGAATAAAAATTGGGACGTGAAGCCACAGCATGTGGCTATGTGTAAAAACAACCATCTGATTTACAAGGATAATGTCTCCAGAGCCCATACATCTCTTTCCTTTGCATAGCACCCAAAAGAATACTAATAGTGAGAAGACTTGCTTGCGCAACTCTCTTGTTCAACTATGGTGTGAAAGCAAGTGGCTAACTGGTTCAGCTGCAAATTTACAAGGATAATGTCTCCAGAGCCCTTAAAGTTCGTCATTTCATCTCAAGTTGATTCCAGTTTCTATCCATACAAATCCAGAAACCAAAATGCCAAGTCTTCCTTTGGTCTCAGTTTGCTAGTATTAAATCCTTGGAAAACCCTCTTCATATAACCTTTACATCCTCCTTTTAAATATGCACGTGCTACTTATATCTAGCAAATTGTTCAACTAAAATTGATGATTGGTATCTTCTTATTCTTGTTGTTTTTTCATTCTTATCTCATAGTTTTTATGAGTTATAAGATCTTGAGTTTGGAATTCTTAATTGCAGGAGATGTTGCTTTCAAGATTCTGGATGGTATAAGTAGTATCAAGCGTAGAGCAAATCAAGATCCCATTAATGATCATTTACAGGAAGAAACACAGATACATGTGTGTGACATAAACCCTAACATGTTAAATGTTGGCAGAAAACGGGCTATAGAGAGGGGTATGAATCAGGAATGATCAGGACTTGAGTGAAATCCATGGATGGTCTAATTACAGTTTTTTATGTCGACTTCTTGATGAGCGATGGTTTTCTTCCCTTTTTTTTTTAATTGATGTTTGCAGGTCTCGGAGAAGACAAATCACTCATATGGGTGGAGGGAGATGCTGAAGCCTTGAGTTTTGAAGATAATACCATGGATGGCTACACAATAGCATTTGGAATTAGGAATGTTACACACATAGAGAAAGTTCTTGCTGAAGCGTATAGGTTTGCTCATAATTTTATGGCTTGCTGTTGACATATTCACCCAAATTATATTAGACCCTCTCGACATAAATTATAAATAGCAAGCTAAGGATCCTCTCATTAAGATTGTAAAACTAAACCATGACAAATAATCATTTCACTACTGCTGATGCGATATCAGGTTACTCTGTTACAGGCTTTTAAGGATGGCTTATCTAATTAGAGGATCCAATTGAATGTTATGAATTAAATGAAATGTAGCCTTTATCTTCTAAAATCAATGTTTATAACATATTTTCTTCAAAGAAAATGCATATAACAATGACATTTGTTGTTACAATTGCAAAAATAGTATTGAACATGCATATTATCAAGATCAATATGTCAAGAAAGTTACTTGAGTTATCATGGTGCTACTGTGGATAAGACCTTCATCAATGTCTGAGTAAAGGGGATCTGAATCCAATACCAGCTTAAATTCTGAGAGGGTAGAGGTTCCTAGGTAATTTTTTGTTTTCCCCTTAGAGAGTTCACCTTGTTTGCTCCAAGTTAGGTAATTACATTAAATGCTTGCTGTTGAATTTGAAATAAGGACAATTAGAAGTGGAATTAGGTGGTGAGAATGTTAAATGTTAGGTTTAAATTTTATGAGACCCAAAGACTGCATTGAGAGTTTTTAAAAGATATGAGTTGAAGCATGAAGCTAACAAGAAAATCATTTAGATGATGACTATGAATTTATTAACACAAAAATTTCTTATTTCTGTCTAAACTATGGCGTAGTTGTGCTTGTTGTTATGTGTTTTCCATTCAATTAGTAAATGTCTTCTTTTTTGATATGTATGATCAGCAGGCTTTTCTTCTGTTATATGGTCCCCTTTCTTTCTTCAGAAATTTTCCAGCTTGTGTAATATACATTAATGTTTCATGCAAGCTTCGTCTGTTATTTTATTAGGGTATTAAAACACGGAGGAAGATTTCTTTGCCTTGAACTGAGCCACGTTGAAGTTCCTGTGTTTAAAGAATTGTGAGTACACCTTCTTACACACATTAAAGGATAAATGTTAGCATTTCTTGTAGTATTATTTTTAGGCATTATTTTAACAAAATATATCCTTTTTCCTGTGTTTAATTTTTTCTCAATTTTAATAAATTGACAAGTCAATAATTTATGCCAGATGTGGCCAGTCTTTCCTTTCTGGTAGTGTATAGGTGGTGAAATGTTTTTTTACAAATGAAATCGAAAAGGATAAATTACAATAACTCCCATGAGGTGTGGTGAAACTATAGCCACCACCCAAAAGTTTGAAGTTTTGACAAAATCCCCTCTCCATGTTCAAGTAAATAAGATAAAAATCCTCTTTTGTGCCCAAAATATTGTTACTGTCAAAGTAGTATTTTTAAATCCATTTAGAATATTATGCTTATATATATATATATATTGCAAATCTTCAAAGTTTTGAGTTGTAACAATAAGTTCACCATACCTCAGGGTGTTGACTAATTTACCCGGTTCTGTAACATGGTTTTCTTCATCTTTATTGAATATTAACTATCCAGCCTCTTCCATTCCATGGAACATAGTCAATCATAGAGACAAAGGCCATGGTGTGATGAGGTGAGATTTGCAGAGAAATATTACATCTTAGTTCTAACCGGAATTCAATAATACAAGTCACATGCTCCCATAACCCATCTTTCTCATTGGAGTTCTGGATTCACTTTTCTATTTTCATATTATTATAGGCGTTTATATTTGTATTGATTATGAATCTAAAGTTTAAAGAGTAGATTGATTTATTTTATTGTCTCTAGTTGATTTTTCTGTGCACTACATACCTGCTGTTAGTCTATATACAATTGTTGTTTCCTAACCAATTAATCCCACTAGGGTGCACACAGATTGTTAACTGGGAGCATAATGTTGATTGAGAAGATGATGAACTTTAATATAATATGGTCAAAACATCATGGCTATGGAGATTAGTGTTTTGTAGATGTTGCAATACAAAGTACAAAAAGTAGCAAATACTGTGATTGAACCAGATTAACATTATGCTTATGTTGCAATACAAACAAAACAACTATAGCATGTGGATCCTGAAATAAATTAGCTTTTAGTAATTACATGAACTTCGAATTGTTAAGAAGATCTTGCTGTTTCACTTGAATTTGAGTGGTTGAAATTTTGTAGATTAGTTTTTAATCCTTGCACGCTCTGGCATGTGGAAAGCACTCACATGGAAGACTTTATGATTGTTTGTAGCAAGAAAAAGATATATGCTCACTGCTTAAGCTTATTCTATGGATTGCAGATGACTTCTACTGTCCCAGCTAATCTTAGTGAAGCTTAGCTTTCTTTCCACTTCAATTTGTTTTTTCTTCCCCATCTTTTTCAGAACACTGCATCATTTATCCTGTTTCAAGAATGTTCCTTTTTGTTGCAGATATGATTACTATTCTTTCTCAGTCATTCCAGCTGTGGGAGAGCTAGTTGCAGGTGATCGGGATTCTTATCAGTACTTAGTTGAGAGCATACGTCGTTTTCCTCCACAGGTCATAATTTTGTCCTATGTACTTTTGCAAATATTACCACAATTTTGCCGAAGTATCTTAGAAGCTAAGAAATTGAGTCCACACTATAGTGTGATGCCTTTGTAGAACCCTGGATGTTACATATACTGCTATAACTGAATCTTGGAATGAGGTTTACTATATTCCCAATACATACTTCAGCGGAGCCTTTTTCTGAAAATAAGCTATAAAATAAAAATTAAAACAACTGGTGTATTTTGTGCATGCAAGTGAATGCCTTATCCTCGAATGTGGAAACTAGATACTTTTATAGCAACCTTACATGGTTACATGGATTATTGCTTTTTGCATATTCCAACGTGAATATGCACAAGATAGAATGTGATTTTAATATGGCATGCAAGTGTGTTTTAATGATCATTGTACATGGCTCAAGGTTATAAAATTCATTTCTTTTACTTAAAAAAGAAAAGAAAAGAAAAGAATCAACTCATTTTTATTACATTGAACTGCCGGTAGTGTGTTATCAGCATGTATTTTTATCTGAAACAGTGCATCTAAGTATATATATATTTTTTCCTTTAATTAGAAAGAAAAGGACACCTCGTGTTTCTAGTCTGCAAATATATTTAGCCGTAAACTTTGCTTCCTACAGACCTAGGGTGCTATTTATCATTAGTTATGAAAATAATAATCTTTCCATGCTATTGAGTCTTCATGCTAAAAGGTTGCATTGAGAAAAGTCCAGTATAGGTCTTGATTTAGTTATAGTCCTACCAAGTCTGATTGTTAGAATTTGAGCCATATTATTCAGCATTTTTGCATGACAGTTTATGACTCAAACCCATCCTGTGGTAGAAAGCCCGATATTTCAAGCTCTATACCAAACATTACCACTTCAACAAATTATTAACTATCCAAACTGAGAAATTATGTGCTTTAATTTTTCATGCTCTATGCCACATTTTCCTTTCACCTAAATACATGCCCTTGTGATTTCAAATATCTAAGTAAACCGAAGCACTTGGCTAAAGTTTGACTATATAAAGTATCATTTGAAGAAAATGTAAGCCCAATATTTGATTCATTAGTTGTGCACTTTGAAAGATATTTTCTGCTCAGTGATCTGCAACTGATACATTTGAACCCTATGTGTGGAATCCCTGTGAGTTAACTTATTCGAATTAAATTACCTTAGCTGAGAGAGGAAAGCGGGGAGGGAGGCATGAGGACAATGGACTATCTAGGAGCCTATATTGCATGTGCTATCTGATAACCTGGGTTTAATTGTGTGTGTGTATTCACCTTTGTCTGGTATACTTAATGACTTATTGCAAGTGATGAATGCAGGAGAAATTTGCTTCGATGATTGCGGATGCAGGATTTCAGAAGGTTGAGTATGAGAATCTCGTTGGGGGAGTTGTAGCCATTCATTCAGGTTTAAAAATATGAAGGTGTTCAAGGACAGACCTTTGTCTCTATTTTTTCTTAAATAATGCATCTGCAAGTTTTTCGAGGGTGCAGAAATTTTGTCAGCACACCTATTATCCTCTTTCTTGTCTATTTAGACGTTCAATTCAGAGGGCTAATGCATTTTTTGTATGGTGTTGGTATTTGAATAAATGACTCTTCAGCCTACTCTTGGCTCTCTAGGCTTTCTTTTTTCCCTTCTTTCTCTGCTTTTTTCCTTTTTTTCCCCTAATAGATATATACTAATCTTGTTTCCCTTAATACAAGCTCAAGATTTTGATGTAAGAAAAGCGAAGTGCAAAGTGGAGGGACTGGGCTAATATTGATGGTGATTATTTTTGGTTTAGTTTGGTTTTTACATGAAAAAATTAATCAAACTGACATTATTATTTTTTAAAATTTTAAACCGAATCGAAACTGACTGGTTTTGATTCGGTTTGGTTTTTGTTATTCAAAAACTAGTCAAATCAAAAAGTAAATTTTATTTATGTTGTTTAGGAACTTGTTTTAATTTACATGACCAAGATATAATTGAAAAGAAAACAAATATGTTCATAAAATATAAGCTAATCTTAGTTTCTATTGTTTAGAAATTCTAGTTAAAATACAAGCAAAATCAGAGTTGTAAATTATAGCATAAAAAAAATGAAAAGGAAATAAATTTGCCTATAATGAATGAGTTAAATTCAAAAAAGAGCTCAAGATTGGAAGGAAAATAAATCTGCCAATGCGATCTAGTTTGATTGAAGTAAATGATGAAATTTATGATTTTATTGCTAAGGAAAAGAAGAGAATATGATGAAGAAGAGAAGATGCACTAATGAACTTGCATAAAGAGAGGTGAGGGACTAAGAGGCTGGGGGCGGCGATGACGTTAGTTTAGGATCTTTAGGTTAGAGATTATTTATACTCTTTTATTTTTTCTGAGTTAATGAGTTATGGTTGAACCGTTTCGGTTCATTTCGGTTTCAGGTATTTGAAATTGAAATCAAACCGAATTGAAAATTATTTTGAGTTTTCTAATCAGTTAATTTAATTTTTTTTCTCGATTTGGTTTTTTCGGTTATTTTTTCTAGTTTTTTGATTTAATTGATTTTTTAGGTTTTTTCTCACCCCTAGCCAATATCAGTAAATTAAAAAAGATAATGAACAATTTCAGAGGATTGGTTTTCAACGAGTCAATAGTGTGCTTATTTGGAGGGTCTGGGGGTGGCGGTGTTGGTTTAGGACCTTTAGGTTAGAGCTTATTTATAGTTTCTTTTATTTTTTTCAGAGTTAATGAGTTATGGTTGAACCAGTTCGATTCATTTTGGTTCAATCGATTTCATGCATTTGAAACCAAACCGAACTGAACCGGGAATTATTTTGGGTTTTTTAATTGGTTAATTTAATTTTTTTCTCAGTTCAGTTTTTTTTAGTTTAATCAATTTTTTAGGTTTTTTATTCACCCCCAGCCAACATCAATAAATTAAAAAAGATAATAAACAATTTCAGAGGATTGGTTTTCATTGAGTCAATAATGTGCTTACTCGGAGGCACAACGTGACTGCCTGCTAAAGGAACACGCCTATGAAATTAACAGCCATCAACCTTCATGGAAGACAAATTAGTCAACGTGTTATTAGTCTTCCAATTTACATTTTCATAATGAGAGTTGTAAGCTGTAGATGCTTTTCCTCACTCAAACTGATGTTTTGCATGCTTTTAACAAAAGAAGAAAAAATAAAAGTAAAGGAAAGGAAATGAAAAGACTTACCTGACTAGATGAGAAATGCTAACCAGATAAAAAATGCTGCTAGTGGTGTGCCTGGTGGCCTAATGTAGAGGTTGGCATGACTGAGAAGGGGATTCCTACTATTCATGGTGTTGTTAGCTGAGTTTGGTCATTGTGGGAGAGGAAGGTAGATTTTGCTATGACTATTCATGGTGTTGTTAGCTGAGTTTGGTGGGAGAGGAAGGTAGATTTTGCTATGCCTGAGGTTGGTCATTGAAACACTGTTAGGGTTGAGATTTGTAACTTTTGTTATGGAGCTTAAGGTGAAGTTGTTGTAATCAATGGTTGTTGAGGGGTGTTTGGTATAGCTAAAAAAAGGGTTGTTGGCTAAGATAAGGAAGAAAGACTGGTTTTATGGCTTTCAGGAAGATGGTTTTGGGATTTTCAAGATTTGGGATAAGAGGCTGGTCATTGACTTTTTATGGTGGAGCTGAGATCTTCCTGGTAGAGGAAACTAGTGCAAAAGGATTCTTCATTTTTTTTTCCTAATTTTTCTCCTCCTTGTTGTCATGAGGTTGGTGTTTGCAAGGGGTGAGGGACATGTCAATGAATTTATTTTTTCTTTCTAAGATATACTTAACAATCGATTGAAGGAGAGATATAACAATGATTCTTTGACCTATCAAAATGTCAATTTGGATTTGTAGTTAGAAGCACGATCGTTCAATGGATTCAATAGAAATCAAGGGTGCCAAATATCTGACACTATGATAGAAAACTTGTGGACGACCAATAGTGTTTTGACCGTTGAATGCTCATAGTCGATTCTGAACACTCAAACTTTGGAGTTTACGGTGATGTTAGATCAATGAGTATAGACTCAAATGACTCATCTTAATGAAAAATAGGAATGATTTATTACTGATTATGAAAAAATCTACTAATTAATAATTAAAATGAGATAATAAATGGATGGTACATATGCATCTCCTAATTGGTCCCATGGTCCTAATGACGACCAACCTCCTCCTCCTCCTCCAACATTACCTCTATTTTAGATTTATTTTATTTGAACATATAAATGTTTAAATTTGTAATAAATATTTGATTTTTATATTTTTAATTATTTTTTACTTCTATTCAATATATTTTTTAAAAAATATTTTTAAAATATTAGCTGTCTCATGTGTGCGGTGATCATCCTCCACACTCACTTGTGTGTATCTAGAAAATATAGGGAGATAATGAATTCTTATCTTTTATTAGTGAAAAAATTGGATAGGAGTCACCACCTAGTATTTTGGTCACTAGGAACCCTAACTGATCTCAGAGATCAAGTACGAAGACTGGTTGCGTAAAGAAAAGGTATTAGCACCCCAAATATACCCTACCTAAGGTAAGCTACAGTGTTTAATTGTCTGATAAATGCTAAGGTTTCATTGTATTTCTAATTATTGGTCTGTCTACGATTTAAGAAAAGTCCATCTCGGTAAGGAGGTCCTTATCTTATAGGGTAAAACTTAACCATTCTAATATCTATAAAAGAACTACCCTTTGAATATCAGGAATATGTTTTACTTGTAAATTCGTAATCCTAGATATTAAAAGAAAATAAAATAATTTTTTAGATTTTTTTGAAATATTGGCCAAGTTCTTGTGACTTTAATAAACTAGTTATTAAAGCCAAAATGCATACTAAAATATAGCCTTTTTTTGAATTTTTATTTGTTGTATGAAAATACAATATGATTTTTTTTGCTTTTAGAGACTTGACCATATGCATGAAAACAAAAAAACATGTTTTTTTAATGTTTTAACAAAAACTAGTTATTTTAATACCGGATTTGTATCTTTATGGTATAAAAATATAGACTGATATTAATCAAAATTCTGTAACAAAATACACGGAAAAATTATAAATTTTTATAAAAATATTATTTTTAAATTTTTTTGAATCTGAGTTAGACCCAACCAAAAAAATCTTGGCCGAATTCCACTGCTGCATGAACAGTTGATGTGAATTATAATTCATGCCCATTGTTTATGTAGTGAATAGTGGGGAAGAAGAAGACAACGGGCAACAGATCACCTGGTTGGCGGTGATGGCTGGCCTACCAAGAAGGACGACTTGAAGTTGGTGCTGGAAACAGTGATAGGCTTGCATTTAAAATGAACATTTATCATAAATTAAATATATCTTATATTATTAGATATGCTATTATAAAACATGCTTTAGTTAAGGAGTTATTGATACTTCAAGTGTAAAATGATGATATAAAACTTTGATAAAATTACACTTTTAAGTACTAATCAGGGTTCGTGTTCACATTAGGAATGTCTTCCAATGCTATCCACCCTGCCTTGATTAATTTTAAAAGCTTTCTTTTGAAGGCTTTGCAAGTATGGATGCTATGTCCAACAAAACTAGCATGGTATTTACAGGTGAGCTCTGGTTTATACTAGCCAGGGTCAGGTGGCTGCACAGGCATCGGCTCGAGAGCTACCTGCCCGATGCTTAATAACTTCTAGTACATCTCATTCAAGGGTAACAACAATGGAGGTAGTTATTCATAGACCTTTTGGTAATTTCCAATTTAGCTTTTGGCTTGAAAGTTTTGGGACTTAAGGTTTTTGATGTTAGCAACTTGGGATGGAGTATAGTAGTTTTGTGATGAGTTTTTCCTAGCCCTGTAATCGTCTCCAACATGGTTGACCTCTTTCCTTTCGAAGCTTTTTTTTTTGGTGGGTGCAGAAATTCTACTAATCTTAACGCCTTGCTCTATACGTTCACACATTACCACAACGCTATTGAATTGTTAGGCCGAACTACCCATCACATGCTCATAATATGGTGTTTTAAGTATGTTGGCAAATAAAATAACCATCTTCTTGTCCAAAAGTTGAGGATGGACTTGAGCAGCTGATTCACGCCATCTTTGATCACATTCCCTTATGCTTTTTTTTCTCTTCCATTTTCTCTAAATTCGACAAGCTGGTTCTGTTGAGAACAATGTCTATATTATACTTGTACTACTTGATAAAAGCATCCACCAGGTCTTTCCATCTCTGGATCTTTATGTTATCCAATCTCATGTACCAGCTCAATGTTGCCCAACTTAAGCTATCTTGAAAAAAGTGCATTAGTAGTTTTTCATCATGTATTACTTCTATTATTTTATTACAATAGGATTTGAGATGAGTTATGGAGCATTGTGTTCCACTATATTTGATGAACTCAGGAACATGAAACTTTTTCGGGACAATCATATTTGGGACCAGACATATCTTTGCTCCCCATACTGGATCATACAAGTCTACCCCCTTAATTACTCTGATTCTAGCTTTTAGCACCTCCATCTTATCTTGATCAATGCTATTAGATGACTTGGCCTTGTGGGACTCGTTAACAAATGCATCCATAATTGTAGGGGCTGGTGTAGGTGTTACTGACTGCATAAATATTGGATTATGTTGAGGCT